TAAGTTTATAGAGTAAGGGTATAGAATAAGGTTATAGTGGTAAGGATATAGAATAAGGATATAGTTGTAAGGGCATGGAATAAGTTTATAGAGTAAGGGCATAGAATAAGGTTATAGTGGTAAGGATACAGAATAAGGGTATAGTTGTAAGGGTATAGAATAAGGCTATAGTGGTAAGGATAAGGATAAGGCTATAGAATAAGGATATAGTTGTAAGGGCATGGAATAAGGTTATAGAATAAGTTTATAGAGTAAGGGTATAGAATAAGGTTATAGTGGTAAGGATATAGAATAAGGATATAGAATAAGGATATAGTTGTAAGGGCATGGAATAAGGTTATAGAATAAGTTTATAGAGTAACGGGATAGAATAAGGATATAGAATAAGGTTCTAGTTGTGAGGATATAGAATAAGGGTATAGTTGTAAGGGCATAGAATAAGGTTACAGTGGTAAGGACATAGAATAAGGTTATAGAATAAGTATATAGTATAAGGGTATATAAGAGGGGTGTAGCATTGAAAAGGTGTAACACTTTATACGTAGGACAGAACCATTTTTAATAAAAAAGCAGAAATGGTTTCGCTAATTTGCTACGGAACCTTTTTACAGGCAGAACCTTTTTTTGGGGTTCTGTGTAGTACCCACTGGCAGAACCCCAAAAAAGGTTCTGCAAAACTCCTTTTTTTTAGAGAGTGGTTTGTCTTGAATCGGATTTTAGATATGGTTCTTTAAGGTACTTTGTTATCTAGAGCACAGTACCAGTAGGTACTTTGTGAACAGAAACGAAGTGCCCACTGGTACTCTGTTTTAGACTTCCATTAGAAACGCTGGTTAACAATATGTACTTATCGATTTTATACTTACCTTGTACGTTTTTATTTTTCGGCTCTGTAACTTATCCTCAAATATAAAGAACGAAAAAAAATACGATCAAAATCAACAAACGTGACAAAAAAGGAAAAAGAAACATCATAATTGCATCGTCAAAGCATATTTTGTTCTTACTTTCATATGATTTATCTTACGTTTTTTTTTCGTTATCAAAACCACTCAAGCAAAAATAATGGTGTGCTTAGACTATACGTATAAGCTGCACGTATAATAATAAATCAACATTATTTATATGATCTATTTGAATAGTGTTGTTGTTTTCACATTATTTTCATCGATGATAAAATTGTCTTTGAAAACTTGTAAAACAATCAACATTATAGAGAATTACTCATTTCATAATTATTTATGTTCTCGATTAATTGCGATGGATTTATTTTATTTCATTCAGATCATCAATAATTATTTTGTTGATCAATTACAATAAATATTCATATAAAAAGGTAAACAACAAATAATATAATGAAACAAAACAGAGTACGTATGTCCTTTCCTAACTTTTTCATTGAATATCTAAAATTGAAAAAAATTTAAATGAAAAAAAAACATTGTCATTAGAAACATTTGAGAATGTTTAAGAGATCGTCCATGAGAAGACCGAGTGCACGCGGCACTCGATAGTAATTTTTTTTTTATTTTTGTTGCTCATTCAATGCATCAATGTCTAAATCCATCGACCCCAAAATTTTAGGTTCCAATACCTTTCCTTTCAAGAGTTAGCCAATACCGACTTTTCGCACTATCGTACTTTTGTGGGGAAAAAAAAGAAAAAAATCCCTATAAGAGCTGTCCCAACTTGCGTTTCAACAGATCATTGAAATTTTTCGTGGTATATACCAAAAGATAGAGAATTAAAAGCTTAACAAAATTAGCTATATGGATGTAATATAATGTTTAGCAACTCATGTATTATAAAGCTAACATGAGTCAAAAGGGGTCTTTTTGATCAGTTAAACAAAAAACCATGTATCCCGCGCTGTGTTTCAAGATTAGGGAACCCCAAGATGAATTTCACATATGTTATGCAGCTTTTTTTCTCTACAAAATGGTAAAAAAATGTTCAAAAAAACTTCCTCTTGGCGTGAAAAAGGGTTTACGCCTCCTAATTTTTGATGGCTTTTTATGGTTTTTCAATAGAAAATGCACATTCTTAGCGACTTTCATTGCCATGACAAAATACTAAAGCAAAATGAATACGATATTCGGAATCAGTGTCAAAAACTGTAACTAATCATATACTTTTCAGCGAAACTTTTTTCCTGCTCAAAACTGATCTGTGGTTCCCCACAGGTATGTTTAAGAGAAATTTTTCTCGCTGCTCCCCCACAGGCCAGTTTTGAGCAGGAAAAGTTTTTCGCTGAAAAGTATATGATTAGTTACAGTTTTTGACACTAATTCCGAATACCGTATTCATTTTGCTTTAATATTTTGTCATGGCAATGAAAACCCCTACAAATGTTCATTTTCTATTGAAAAACCATAAAAAATTTAGAGGCGTAAACCCTTTTTCGCGCCAAGGGAAAGTTTTTTTTTTGAATACCTTTTTACCATTTTGTAGAGCATAAAAAGCTGCATAACATATGTGAAATTCAGCTTGAAGTCCCCTAAGCTTGAAATACAGCGCGGGATATGTACATTGTTTTCTTTAACTGATCAAAAAGACCCCTTTGGACTCATATTGGCTTTATAATACATGAGTTGCTAAACATAATATTACACCCATATAGCTGATTTTGTCCAGCTTTTAATTCTCTATCTTTTGGTATATACCACGAAAAATTTCAATGATCTGTTGAAACGCAAGTTGGGACAGCTTTTATAGGGATTTTTTTCTTCTTTTTCCCCACAAAGGTACTATAGTGCGAAAAGTCGGTATTGACTAACTCTTGAAAGGAAAAGTATTGGAATCTAAAATTTTGGGGTCGATGGTTTTAGACATTGATGCATTGAATGAGCAATAAAAACCAAAAAAAAATTTCATCGAGTGCCTCGTATAACGGGCTGATACTCGATCAGCTCATGGAAGCTCTCTTAGATACTATTTTGGCAATATTAATCGTTGTATTATTATTGTGATCCGAAGTGCAATATTTATCAATTTCTTTGCCAATTTTCTTTTTTGATGTGGTGTGAAGCACAGCATACATGAGTCATTCCGCGTAAGCGTTGATCGACCCCTGCTCAATTGATAGCCGCCGATTTAGCTAGCTTTTATATATGTTATAAGGGTAACGATTTCATGGACTTTTACGCAAGCCGTTTGAAAAAAATATTCTTGCATTCTTGCAATATTTAAATTTTTCTGAGAGCACTATCGCCATAAAACACATCTTTTGCAACTTGTTTGCGTTTTTTGTGACATTCAGATTTTATCAAAGATATATGCATTTGGCTTGAGATTTATCCTGTGAATAAATTTGAGGTTCCGATACTTCTCATAAAAACGCGCTTAAATGGATGATACGTTGATCAGTTGTGCAATACTACCAAGTATATGATATTTTAGGCATTTTTGACATTTGGTGCATATATACGCCCGGGAAAAAATAGTGAGACTCTGTATTTTGAATCTATTTCCACTATGAAAACACATTTTTTTAAGAGTAATTACAGATTCTGAAAGTCCGTTGAGTTTTCTATCACCCTGTATAATTAGGTTTTAGTTTAGACCTATTCATTATCAAAATAAATTGAGTACAACGAAGACACCCTCATATTCAGATTCCCACAGACTTGATTTTGTCACTGTCATCAAAATTAGTTTTTTAAATTTTTGATCACTATAGAATTACCTTTTTAAAAAACCAATTAAATATTCTGATAAAGCTTGCAATTCTCTATCACCCTGTATGTTTCCTTATTTTCTTGCATTCATTTATTGAAAAATAATTTGAGTACAGTGAACACACTCTCAATTGACAAGTACCAAAAATCTGCATTTTTTGTTGCTTCTGGAGTTTTCTGTTAAATTTATTGTTCCTATGCGAAAAGGTTTTTTTAAAAAGCAATTACAGATTCTGATAGAGCTTGGAATTCTGTATCATCCTGTATATTTGTTAACTATCTTGCACTTATATGTTGAGAACATTTCCAAGAGTTTGTGAGTGACTGAAAACTCTTAAACCCTTTTCTCGTATTTTATCTTAGAGATTTTTTTTATAGTGTACGGACAATATTTAATATCTCTGATGAATATTGTGGGAAAATAAAATGAGCAAATATTTAATTGATTTAAAAGGCATTGGAGACGAAAGAGGACTGCTTGTTTCTCTTGAGTCATTCAAAAACGTCCCGTTCGATATCAAACGTGTTTTTTACCTTACACAATTAAAAAGCGATCATCCCCGCGGTTTTCACGCCCATAAAAATCTGAAAGAATTAATAGTTTGCGTGCATGGCAGTTGCGATATCAACGTAGATGATGGGAAAACCAGAGAAAAAATTCAATTGACTAGTGCATTGATGGGCCTTATCGTCGAAAACTTTATCTGGGTGGAAATGGATAATTTTTCATCAGATTGTGTTCTGATGGTTCTTGCAAGTGACTATTATGATGCGAATGACTATATCCGGGACTATGAACAATTTAAAAAGAGATTTATCAATATGATACATCCATTGAGCGATGTAAAAACAGCAGCCATTGGATCGAATACGAGTATCTGGCAGTTTGTAGTTATCCTACCAGAAGCTGTTATTGGCAGTAATTGTAACATTTGCTCTCATTGTTTCATCGAAAATAAAGTTGTCATTGGTGATAACGTCACTATTAAAAATGGTGTTCAAATCTGGGATGGAATCACAATTGGGGACAATGTTTTCATTGGGCCCAATAGCACCTTCACTAATGACGTATATCCGAAATCGAGAAATCCTCTTTTTGTACCTGTATCCACAAAAGTTGAAAAGAATGTTTCAATTGGTGCTAATACAACCATTTTACCAGGACTCACGATTGGGGAGGGTTCTATTATTGGTGCGGGGGCTGTTGTAACAAAGAATGTTCCTCCTTTTAGTGTTGTTGTTGGGAATCCCGCAAGGGTTATCCGTACATTGGAGAAAAACCAGATAATTCCTTTTTCAAATTTAAAAGGCTTAACTTATAAAATGGAAGCTGAGCTCAAAGAAGCTTGCTCGAGAGTAATTGACTCTGGTTGGTATATTAATGGGAAAGAAGTCGATAATTTTGAAAATAGCTTTGCACAATACTGTGGAGTAAAGCATTGTATTGGTGTCGGCAACGGGTTTGATGCTTTAATGCTAACACTCAGAGCTTGGAAACTGATGGGAAAGTTAAACGACGGCGATGAAGTTATCGTACCTGCGAATACTTATATTGCGAGTGTACTTGCAATTACAGAGAACAATCTGAAACCTGTTCTTGTTGAGCCAGATGAGACAAGTTTTAATCTTGATCTTCAAAAAGCGAGAGCTGCCATAACTCGTAATACGAAGGTTATTCTTCCTGTTCATCTTTATGGACAGCTTGCAAATATGCCTAAGATTATGAAAATTGCACAGGAGTTCAATCTTCTTGTTCTTGAAGATTCAGCTCAAGCACATGGGGCGAGCATTGATGGAAGAAAAGCTGGTAGCTGGGGAACAGCTTCAGGATTTAGTTTCTATCCAGGAAAGAACTTGGGAGCACTTGGAGATGCTGGAGCAATTACCACCAATGATGGTGAGCTTGCAAAGATTATACTTTACCTCAGAAACTACGGTTCTTATGAAAAATATAAAAATAACTTCAAAGGTGTCAATAGCCGTCTAGATGAAATTCAAGCAGCAATGCTTTCGATAAAGTTAAAATATTTGGATGAACAAACCAAAGCTCGTCGACATGTAGCCAAACGATATATGACTGAGGTAAAGAATCCTTTGATTTTACTTCCTGTGGTTGAGAAAGAAGAGCAGCATGTTTGGCACTTGTTTGTCGTGAGGTGCACTCATCGTGAAAAACTCATGGATCACTTGAAACAGAACAATATCCAGACTTTGATTCACTATCCGATACCTCCTCATAAACAAATGGCGTACAAAGAGTATAATGGTCTTTCTTTCCCTCTAACGGAAAGAATCCATAATGAGGTTTTGAGTATTCCAATGAGCCCAGTAATGAGTGAAACGAACGTGACTTATGTAATTAACGCACTTAATTCTTTTAAATTGGAGTAGAGTGAATTTAGTTAAACCAGCATTGTAGATGACATTGCCGTTCTTTTAAAGATGCTGCCATTTTCACAAGTTCATAATTCTCGCTGCGTTTGGTTGTGGGTGTGAATGGTGGGTCGGCATGCGACTATGGGTATGGATGTATGTAGTGAGTGTAAATGTCGAATGATCACAATGTAAACATGTCACTTGCGCAACCAGAAACATCAGGTGGCTTACAGGGTGTGGATGTGGGTGTGGGGTATGGGGTGTGGGTGTGAGTGGGTGTGGGATGTGGGTGTGTGTGGGTGTGGGTGTGGGTGTGGGGTGTGGGTGTTGGTCTTCTCTTCCACCCACCCACACCCCACACCCTTTTTTCAATTCATGAAAAAAATGATGGCCTTTTTATCAATAAGTGTTTCGAAAAATTGACTTAAATTGAATGTTTGGATTGATCATTAACAATAATTAAAATTTCCTCAATATTTATCTGTACTTCTTTAAGCCCATGCTTTTCCAAGGTGTCAGAGAAAGGGTGTGGGTGCGGGTGGATGGATGTAGATGTCGGTGGGTGGGCTCGAATGCGCATGGGAGGCCGATCTTTTCGTACACATGAACCCACACCGACATCCCACTCATACAGTCATAATCATACCCACACACCTTGATCAATAATTAAATTGTACCATACAATTATTTTGATCTTCACCAAATATCGAGTTTTTATACACTATTTATTTAACTTTACACTTATTATTGTTTGGTTATTTCAAAAAGTTGACTCGATGATTTTTTTTATTAGAAAAAATACCCTAGTCTTTCTAATTATTGTTGACTATTAAATTATTATAGCTGAACATATATCCCCCTGGACAAAAATAGTTAGACTCGGTATTTCGAATATATTTCCACTATAAGACCACACTTTTTAAAAAGTAATTACATATTCTGAAAGCCTGTGGAGTTTTCTATCACTCTGTATAATTAGGTTTTAGTTTCGACCTATTCATTATCAAAATAAATTGAGAACAATGAAAGCACCCTCGTGTCCAGATTCCCCACAGACAGGATTTTGTATCCTCAACTAGTTTTTTAAACTTTTCGACTATAGAAATATCCTTCTAAAAAAAAGAAATTACATATTCTGATAGCGCTTGAAATTCTCTATCATCCTATGTATTAATGTAGTGTCTTGAATTTAAATAGCGGAAAAAATGCAGATTTTTGGTACCTGTCGATTCACGATGTGTTCATTGCACTCAAATTTTTTTTTAAATAAATCAATATAAGAAAATAAATAAATATACAGAATGATAGAGAATTTCAAGCTCTATCAGAATACATAATTACTTTTCTCAAAAGATGGTACTATAGTGATAAAAAATTTTAAAAACTAATTTTGACGACAGTGACAAATCAAGTTTATGGGAATCTGAACATGAGGGTGCTTTCATTGTTCTCAATTTATTTTGATAATGAATAGGTCGAAACTAAAACCTAATTATACAGAGTGATAGAAAACTCCACGGGCTTTCAGAATATGTAATTACTTTTTAAAAAGTGTGGTCTTATAGTGGAAATATATTCGAAATACCGAGTCTAACTATTTTTGTCCAGGGGGATATATAGGTAAGATTTGTTGTTAGCTGTTACTCATATTTAACTGATAAAATTAAAAAAAGCAAAATTGAATGAGTATTTGTTATGAACATTGAAAAATCTAGCTTGATATTGAATGAATAAATTCATCTTGAATTTATAATTAATTGAAAAACAACGAATAAATAACATTAAAATCTTGACAAATATTAAAAGCTATTGGAAGAAAAAGAAGAAGTCGAACCTGACAAACAATCAGACGTTTTTTTTTCACTTAATGCAGTTTTAAAGACATTTACAATAGTTAACGAAGAAAATCTTTTCAGTAAATAAATCTATTTAATTTTCTTTATCCATAAAGAAAAACAAGACATTTTGTTTTGGAAAGAAACATTTAACATGTGTAATAGAATAAATAAAAGAGCATTGAATATCCCAAGCACCATTTCTATATATACATATATATGATTATTTATTTACGTCCATTAAAAGGCATATGTATTCGTTGACGACGATTTGATAATTCTCCACTAGCATTTGTTACAGCTCGTGTTCTATCAAGTTTTTCTGATAGATCATCAACTCGAATATCTTTTAAATGAAGTAAATGTTCAAGTCGACGAATTTTGGCTTGTAATATCTGTAAAACAAAAATTTAAATACATTTATTGATTTATTATTTAAATTAAAATAGACTTGAATTGCTTCTTCTTTGGCAAGACATTCTTGTTCTTTTTCATCGTATTCAATACGACTAACCATATCTGTATTTAAATTATGCATTGATTGAGACTTTTTTTCTATACTAAAATCATTTTACATGTACAATATCGTATTAAAAATATATCATATCTTACTTTACACCATGCATTCGAGATTTCGGTACTGCCTCTATAAATAAACAAATACAATAACAGAATTTTTATTTAAACATTATACTAACCACCTATCAATAAAAATAATAATAAACTCAACTAGAATTTAAATGTTTATTTTCACTTGAGTTTTTTATATTATAGTCAAGAATAAGAACTGAAGGTTCTCTTTGAAAAAGTCATGATCATTTCGATTGCGAGAGGTACTCATGCGAAAATATCACTTTTTATAATATTGGTGAACAGAGGGTGTGAAAAGGCTAATACACTTATTTAAAAAAATCCGATCAGTAAATACAAAAAGAATTGATAGATAATCTTTATTTTATTATTCATTTCAGTGAGAAACTTCTTTACTTCGATTTGTGGGTGTTAACCAATCGATGGAATTAACATCATTATAACCGTTCTTTTAAATAGTTATTCAAAATTCTAAAGCCTCACTAGCGATATACAAAAACTAAATGTGTCATTTATATAAATATTTCATATAGCAAATCAATTAGTGTACATATCATTGTCTCATTTTCTTGTAAATATGTTTTTTACCATCGTTTTATCTCTTTTTTGTTTAAAAATTTCTCAAAGTTAAATCAACAATCAATGCATTGATTTACACCTTTTATTCTAGTCTATTGTTCGCGATGATGAGAGAAAACAAGAGGAGACTCGTCTCATATAAGATGATCTAAGAGTGTAACCGTAAATTTTCGAATATATTGTGATGATATATTTAATTAAATAATGAATATATATGTGTATATCTAATATGAAAATTACTTTGTTTAGGTATTGGTGAATATTGTTGACGTTGTCTAGGTGTTATTCTATTTGATTGAGTTGTTTTTGCTTTTTGATGAAGAACACTAAATAAAGTATTTGTATTTAAATCTAATCAATTAAAAATAATTAATCTGTGAAAACAACTAACTACTAGCATTAGATTTTGATTAGTAGAATATGTTATTTAAATTTAAACGAAAAATATTGTTACTTGATATTAACAAACAAATTATAATGAAATATTTAATTAAAAACAAAAAACGAAACAAACCGATATTGAGGGTCACTAGGATTTGTTTCCATTCCGTATAGATAACTGAAAGAGTATATTGACAATTTATTTTCATTAGATATATTAAAAACAAATTATAAAAAATTTAAAAATAATCTAATTATTAATTTAATAGAAAACATACTCATCTATTTTTGTTCGTAAATTGTAAAGAAATATTTCAATAAGTCCAGCTCTACCAAGACATATACCACGCATTATCTCTTCCGGAACATTAAGACCAAATCGACAGAAGATTTTTCTAAATTATTCAAAAGTTTTTTTTTTTTTTAAATTCATTTCAATGTATCGTTTGCAATTTTATTGAAAAAATTAACAACAAAAAAATTTTTCATTAAAAATAGAATATATTCAAAAAGATAAACTGTTTAACTCTTTTCGATAATATTTTATTGGCACAATGGGTTAGAAATTTCTTACTGACATAAACAACCATTTCATATAATATCAATCTATAATAAATAGAATCGATTCTTGTTTACTCCTATGAAAAAGTTCTCTTTTTCTTGCAAATCAAATAATTCAAAAAAAAAACATCTTCACTCTTAATTTTATTTTTCGCACAATCTCATCCAACGAATACTTATTTATACGTAAAATTTCGAGTCAATATTAAACTAGATTAGGTTTTTTTCTAAATATAATCAACAATAATAAACCTTTGTTATATATTAGATTCTGAATACATAGAATTTCTTCGATATATTTATTTATTAACAAACTTTAAAATATAATCTCAATTGAGACTTTTACTATGTTAAGGTTTCCCCTCTCTCAAAATTTGATCTCAGGCTGGGAACGTTCGAATAGCATGAAATTTTCAGAGTATATTGGAACTGATGAGCCATGGCTATGGTAAAATTTTCCGCCCTGTACTATGACGTTTGGCATGGATATCGGCCAAACAAGGTTAGTCACTGCAGTTTTACACACTCTTTCAAACAAAAAAAACTATTGGCTACAATGAAGCTCTTTCGAGAAATCATGGAAATGCGATCGAGAACCTATAAAATAAGAATAATCGAAAAATATTTTCGGTTTTTTTCACAAACAACTTGTTTTTCGAATAAGGAATGAAGGAAACCTTAAAAAAAAATTGGAGAAAAGGACATGCGAAGTAAAAAATTTTGTCGTTTATGAGAGATTCGATGACAGGTTATCTTTCTCTGCGTTTATCTTCACTTCGTTAAAATATTGATGAAAAGTGACTTTTTTGAGGGGGAATCTTAAAATCTCTAAGAATTTTTACATTATCATCAAAGACAATTCTTATAATGATACATGAACTATATTATTCAAATAATTCCATATATCTTTTTTTACTTCTGTTATTCATTTTTATACTTATTAATTATATTTTAGATACGAATAAAACAAAGGAAACCTTATAAATTGTTTCACTCTCGGTTTTCTTTTTCCAAAAAACAACAAAAAAACTCTTTTGAATGTATTAAATGATAAAGAATTAATTTATTTTTACTTATTTAATTAAAATAAAAAATCTTAAGTATTAAAGTTGATTTACCTATTTAAAAGTCCCCAATTAATTAATTTTTGTTGTGTATTATTGGCTGCTGCATAATTATGTAAATCTACCTATTTAAATTAAAAAAAAATATTATTTTTAAAATAAAATCAAACTATTTTTTTTTAAAATAATGTTACCCAACTAGGAAAATAATATTTGATTAATTCGGCTACCATAACTATAGAAAAAAAAAAAAAAACATCAATGAATAAGAAAAAGAAGAAAAAAAAAATTATATTAATTATTGAAAAGAGATAAGTAAATAAGATAGGTGATATAAAGAAAAACAAAAGCGAATAAAATAAGCTTACCACCATCAGCAAAATCTTTTTCAATACGTTTTTTAGGTCGACTTAATGGTATTTGATCAATCCATGCATAAAGATCTTGTAATAATTGATCATCCAATTCAATATCCCAAGACATTTTTTTTGTTTTTTGAAAATATTTTTAAATCAAAAAAAGAAAAACAAAACAAAGAAAAAAAAAATAGTGAATTTAGATCTGGAAGAAGAAGAAGAAAGAAACACAGATAACATTCAAGATTACAAAAAGAATATTCATAAATATAAGATAATACCTCCATCAGAAAAATCTTTTTCCATTTTCGTTTTTAATCTAGTCAACGGTATACTATCAATCCACATATATAAATAAATAAGTTGTTCTTTATCAAATACATATGACCAGTCGAGTATAAGCATTATTTTACCTTTTTTTTTTTTTTATTTTTTGCTTTAACCTTTTTTCTTTCTTCATCGCCATATTTCATTTATGTAACTATAGTTATATCCACAATATATCTAGTTAAATTATTTCTATTGGTTTATATATCACCATTAGGATGTTTAGTACGATAGCTAGCATATCATTAGAATTTTTCAATATAGGAATACAGACCAAAAAAGAGCCGGGATTTTATTAATTGTACATATGAAAAATCTAATGTAATCTACAATGAATAATAATGATCGTAAACGACGTATTCTATCGTTATTAAATCGAAAAAGAAAACGTTGATTTTATTTAATAAAAAAATTGAAAATTGATCAATAAATTCTATCATCATCATTATTAAATTATTTAGCAAATATAAATCATATTCACGAACAATATTCAATAGATAATCAAAATTAATACCAATTAATCATTCTAAAAAAGATATTGTGACGTTTTATTTTTATTTAAAAAAACTATCCGAAATAAATATTATTGTTATTATTCTTTAGTTGAACTAAGAACAATCAATAAATCGATTTAGGTATAGTAATTAATTACTTATATGAGAGTTTTATATCGAAATATTATTTATAGAATAAAAAAAAGAACAATATAAAATAATATAAGAATATTCATCTTATTCAAATATATCATTTTATATTAATTTTAAAAGAATAAAAATTGATTTTATTCTATTATCAATATTAACATAACTATTTCAACGAATATTCTTCAATCATTGATTAGTTCATTAACAAGATTTATTTCGAAAAGTAACTATTTTTACGAACTAATTAACGGTTACAAAAAAAAATGACAAATGCCATTTTGAATATTGAAAAAAAAAAGAAGTCACTTTGATTAAAAACTCTCGTTTTCAATGGTCTGAATTTATGAAAAAGATACTTCTTTTAAAATAAATTTGGTTTTATTTATAATAAAAATGATTAAAAATCGCGGATTTTTTAAATAACTAGATGAAACAAATTGAAAATTTTCGATATATTCGAATAAACTTTGATTATTGAAAAAAATCTTTTTTAAAGATGATTCGTGTTAAACAATTTTCTCATAATATTTATTATAATAATAAATGAAAATTAATCTTAACTATTCTATTGTTTAACAAATTGAATTGATTTCGATGATATACCTATATCAATATCGTAATAGTTTAGTATATATATGTTTACTCTAAAACTCCTTATGAAAAATTCATTGTTGTTAAAAAGTTGATGAAAAAAATTCTTAAATATATAAATATAATGATATATCGATCTTTAAAATAAATAGTCACTATTGTATTTAAATCTTTGATAAATTTATAGAATAAATATTGTTTAATTAAGAAATTATCATTTAGTATGGATTATTTTGAGAAATTTTCAATAAAATTAAAAAAACTTTGTAAATAAATCCTTTGTCCATTTAATTAGCATAAACTCTAATTAAGTTAAATGAATTTCTACAAATGTCTGATGATATTGTTTAAAGAAAAAGAAAAACAGTGTAATTGAGAAAATTAAAGTAGATTAAACAAATATTTAAAAGAAGAACTAAATATTATTTATTGAGTAATGATAATAATTCAAATTTGTTTGGTCTAAAACAAAAAAAGCTAAATGTAATAAGTAAATTTATTGTTTTCGAAGTAAATAAAATAAAATAATTTAAATTGTAGATACTGAAATAAATGATTCATCGATTGTAAATCAAGCTGTTAAATCTTTATTAATAGATTATTCATTTGAATTTAATAAATGATTTATCTGAAAAAATGTTATCAGATCATAATCATTAAATAATGAAATATATGATGATTCATTTAATTCAATATATTTTAAAATAAATCAATATTTGAATTTACGAACAAATCAATGTTTCATAATTAAACAAATTTTAAATAATATTACTCAGTAAATCTATTCACATTCAAAAGACATGTTCAATCAATAAATGATGATAAAGATAATGCATTAAAATCATAACTAAAGACATCTATTTCAAAAATGAAAACTACAATATCAATTAATTTTATTTCGATTCAAATCGAAGATTTTTTTTTTATTTTTTCTTTTTAATCAATTCTATTATTAAAATATATTATTTATAGAATGTCGTTCTATGATTAACAAAATAAATAAATCGAAAGAAAATTATTATAAAAATAAACTCGAACAATGTAAGTTTAATTATTTATTCAAAAACAAAAATTTTTTTTTTATTCATTTTATTCTAATTTAAATATAAGTAAATAATATTATATTTTATATCAATGTAAATTAATTATTAATTCATATTAATTAAATTTTAAATATAAATACTTTTTAATTTTATTTCTCCAACTAATTATTCTTTCCTAACTATGATGAAAATTTTCCTTTTTATTATAATGTTTGAATCCGATAGGGACTCTTGAAGAGCATTTTGAATTAATTAAAGAAGTCAATTAATTAAAGAACCCTAAGGTTTCAATTGAAAAAAAAAAGATTGTTCCTAAAGTTGTAAAGGGATTTCTATTAGTTTTATTTAAAACTATTGACTATTTCAAAAAAAAAAAAGTCGATGGATATTTTTTGAATAATTTTCAATAGAAACAAGATAGACAACAACAATTTTCATCGTTGGAAAGAGAAGATGAAGACACATCGAACAGTATATTATAGGCTTCTCTGAGAGGTTTTTTTTCTATAGTATTCTTGATCAATTTTCTCAAAAAAAAAGATGCCGAAAAATTAGTTTCTCTTAAACTAAGAAAAAGGCAAAGAAAACGTGATTTTTTTCACAGAAATTAATAGAAGTACCCGTTAAGAGTTTCGGACAAAATGCGTAACACTTATGAACGCACAAACATAAAAGTTTGAGCCTTACACAGTTTTCTAGATCTTCGTTTAGCAGTTGAAATATGTACCTGATGGTTGAAAATTACCCTTAGTCACCTTATGAATTATGTTGATTGTCAAAGACGTCAATTTAAGTTTTGGAAATGCGATACATCTTCATCTCCTCTTTCCGACGGTGAAAATATGCTTTTTTTTTTGAAATGAACAATAGTCAACCATTTCGTTTTGTATGATGAAAGAGTGAAAAACTTCTTGATCATTTTCTAACTTTCTATTATAGTTTTGTTAATGGAATTTAATCTTTGATTATTAGAATAATCTGTTAATTATTTCAATATAAATAGTTATGTTGAATATTTTACTAAATTATTTTAAAAGATTTGTAAAATTTGTTAAATGATGATTAGACATATATTAAAAGAATGTTTTCGATCAATCGATAAATATCTTCATTAGGATTTTGTTTTTCTTGGCAATATTTATAAAATAAAATCTATTTTAATTATTGACGAAATTTAACAATAAAGAAAATAAAATAGTTCAACAGCTTAAAAAGTCAAATTATAATAAAATAATTTCATCATATTCATCAATAATTGATAATATAATATTGATTAAAGATAAATATCGTTTAATTAAATATTATTTTAGAAAATTATTCTTTATTATCGAATAATCAAACAAATAATTCATCAATGAATAAATAAATAAATTATTTCTAAAACAAATATCTTTAATAATATTATTAACAAGTTAATAAGAGGTGCAAATTATGTAGATAAATTTTCATGTTCATTAAGTTATTTTAATAAATCAATAGAGAATTTTATTCGATTATGGCTGTGGATTATTCTTCTTTATTCCGACACAATCACACCCGCATATCTTCGAAAACAATTTTTATGACGAACAAAAAAAAACAATAATTTTCATATTTCAAAAAAGAATTTCATGCTTTTCTCCATATTGATTATTGTTTTATCCACTGTTATTCTATTAAACATATCTTGATTATTTTCTATTGGAGATGGCTCCGAAAGATTTTTTTTTAAGAGAAAATTTTATCAAATATAAAGAAAGAAAATTTTGAAACATGCTACTCTGTTAACAACTTGTATCAGTAGATTAAAAGCCAACTGAAAATCTTTATGATAGGCTCATTTTTGATTGTTGATATTATTATGATAGATTATAAACAATTCTAGATTTTCATTGAAAATTTCAATTGTCATTTGCTAAGAGTCCGAAACACATTTTCGGAGTCTTTTTTTTTTTTTCTTAGAAAAACTAGTCGTTCTTGGGAAAAATAGATTTATGAAAGGGAGAAAGATGAACGAATGAGACTCGAGAGTATACATGTAAAAATTTTAGCAATGTAGATCAAGAAAAGAAGAATGGTCTTGACTATTTGAGTTTAACTATACTTATGATATATGGTAGATTTCCTAACAATTAGCTTTATAAATGCACAAGGAAAAGAGTTTCGAACTTGATGAACCTATCATCATGTTAAATATTGTCAATTTTTTTGATTATAATACCTTTTCCAGTGAAGTAAACAAAGCTAAACTGGTCATAGTAAGCTAGATTAATAACGTATAATATAGGGTAAATGAATAATATGTCTATTGATAAGAAGAGATGATATTGCAAGGTGAATTATTTTGGTCACTACAATTTTTTTTTCTTTGAAGCTAACAGTAATAATTAAATAGATTATTTATTTGAGAGTTTTCTTATAAATAATGAAATCCATGAATTTCAAGTATTCGTTAATAAATATCTATAATTCAGAATGTAAGTTACATGTAATATGATATTGAAGTGACGAACTAGAATATTGAAGGTTATTTCTAGTCAATGTTTTCTATATCAATCAACAAAATTGATAAATTATGATACAATGACATATATGACAATATATTCTCATTTCTAATATGAATAGATACTATGTTTTCTCATTGATTGTTGAATAATCTTATTTAAAATAAAATAATATTTATCAAAATTATCTTTTTTTTTTTTGTTTTAATAATTTATTACGATTTATCTTAAATAGTTGTTTATGAAATACGTTATGTCAAATATAATTGTTGAAAATCTTTGTCTATGAATGACATCTATGATCATATATAATTCAATGGTTTACAATAGTATTCCAATAAAAATGAAAGAAAGTTAAATTTGAAAATGAATGAAAAGGTTATCTTTATACATAATTGTTTAACTGATAGTTAAAATGAAAATGTTGTTAATATCATTGATAATTTATTTAATATTCTATTCAAATATAATTAAATCATCACCTAGTGTTACAAGTCGTTATAAAATAACTGGTTATCATACATGGCTTGAATATCAAATTCATCCTGATATTCAACAACCTATTAAATGTTTATTTGTTTGGCATCGTTTACCTCCATATTTATATATTGAACCAGAAGAATTAAATAAATTAAATGCAACTATAATTGGTAAAATTGATATTGAAAAATCTTCATCTGAATCTCATCCATTTGCATATTGTTTTATATTATATAATTCATCAAAAATCGAATATCAACATAGTAAAACATTTTCAATAAATATTCATAATCGATATATAGATCCAATATCTAATGATAATCAACAATATGAAACAGTTTATTTACCTGAACCAGTTATACATTTTACAGATAAAACTTGTCCTTATTTAGGTTCAGGTTGTCCACCACCATTAACTGAAACAGCTATTGAATCACCAAGACAATTAACTGTAACCATTCCTCTTGGTCAAAAAAAACATCTATGGTTTGTTTATCCTCTTACTTGTTTATTTCCAATAATTGCTTCTTCATTATTATTTATATTTACTCAATGATATTATATCTTTATTCTATTCAATTCTATAACATATTTCATTCCTTGTTTTTTTTTTTTGTATATCTAAATAAAATATCAGATAAATAAAATGTAATATAGTTGTCACATTGATTTAATTAATTAATTGTTGAACTTACTTATATAATTAGAATATTTAAAAAACAATAAAATAAAATAAAAACTAGTTTATTTTGAAGAAAATTAATTAGTCAAAGAAATAAAAAGGTTAAATACCTTTCTTTCTATGAAAATGAATAAAAAAAAGTCAATGTTCTATAAGAACATGCAATAATATAACCTAGAAGAATTTCAATTAAAATAAAATAAAAATAAAATCAAAGTGAAATGTTCTTATATCATAAAAAGACAGATCAAAAAAAAAAAAGAAAACTAATAAGTAAAAGTTAAAATTCATCCATTAAATCGTCGTCAGGCTGATCGGTTTGTCCAGATACATAAACAGGAAAATCAATAACACGCAATTTTTCATTATAATTATCTAAATATATAATAATAAACAAATGATTTAAATTGAAAATAAATAAAATAATTACCACAAGTAAATGTTTCTCCACTGTCTTCCATGATACTATTTCCATATCGAACACTTATACGTGTTTGAAATTGATCAAGAATTGAAGAATGATCAAGAAATTTCTCATTTTCATCTGCATTTTCTTCTAAAACAATTATCTCAAATATTCAAAAATTATACAATTATTATATTTAACCTTCGATTTGTTTATAAACAATTTTTTTAATCAATGATTGTCCTGGTTTACAACCACAGTTAACATACGCTTTTTGTCTTTCCTCTGTTCCTTGCGATACTCTTTCTGGTAGATATACTCGTACTTGTTGCGGACGCGTTGGTGGTTGTAGTACTACTACTCGTGGTGGCTGTCGAGGCTGTGGTGGTTGTTGTAGTACTACTACTCGTGGTGGCTGTGGAGGCGGTGGTGGTTGTTGTAGTACTACTACTCGTGGTGGTTGTGGAGGCGGTGGTGGTGGTGGTGGTACTTGTACTCGTATTGACTGTGGAGGCGGTGGTGGTGGTAGTTGTACTCGTACTGGTTGCGGAGGTCGTGGTGGTGGTACTAGTAGTCGTGTTGGTTGGGGAGGCGGTGGTGGTCGTAGTAGTGGTCGTGATGGTGGTGGAGGCGGTGGTAGTAATACCACTCGTGATGTTGGCGCAGGGGGTGGTGATAGTATTGGTGGCGAAAGAGGACTCGCTGGTGGTAATTCAACACAGAGTAACTTTGGTCGAAGATGAGCTGGTAAATGAGCATATTTCGTTACTGTCGGACAAGGTACACGACACAGATTAGTTTTATCATCATAATAAGGAACATGTTGAACTGTTTGACCTGGATGAATTGTATTAATTAAAGGAATTGTTGGTATTTTAGCTTTTTGTATCGGTAGTTGTGCTTGTCTTTGTTCAATGACTGGTTGTACTATATTTGCGTGATATGCTTTTTTAAGAGGTTGCTCTAGTTTAGGATAGCAAATTTGTTCATATTTTTGCGTTTCAACAGGCTTTTCTTGAATTACTGGCAGATGTTGTGGATGTTGCCATTGAACAGGATGAGGTATCAATTGATTATAAACTGCTTTATCTTCTGGTTTACTTGAATAATAGGGTGGCAAAAGTGGTTGTTGAACATTTTGTCTTCCTCCTGGTTTATAAACATCACAGACAGGTAAAATTCTATTCGGTTGTTGAAACACTTGTGGAACAACAGTAGGCACTGTTAATGGCTTACTTGATTCAATTATAGGTTGGATTGATGTTAATATGGGTCTTTGACTTTCTCGAATAATAGGAGGAACTGAGGATGGTCTTGGTTTTCGAATAATTGGTGGAATTGATGTTGATATTGGTTGTTGAATAGTTTGAGGAATATATGATGATATTGATGGTTCAATAACCGGTGGAATATATGACGATATTGATGGTTCAATAACCGGTGGAATGTATGTTGGAACAGCTTGTTGGTTTGTCGTTTGTATAAATGGTTGCTGAACGAAAGGAGGAACTGATAAAGGTCTTCGTTTTTCAACAGCAGGTGGAATAGATGTCCATATTGGCTGTTGAATTTCTTGAATATTTCTCTGTATAATAGGTTGTTGAATAGTTTGAGGAATATATGATGATATTGATGGTTGAAA